TGAGGACTGGCCTTTCAACCAGTAGAATTCGCCAAAGGACAAACCCATTTTCGGTCTGATGAGATAAAAGAGATCATGAAGCTTGTACCAGTATCTGAGATTCGCTCTTAAAACTAAATTAAACAATATATGCTTAATGGCCAGGAATCTCCAAGTCTAGATTGACGTGAGAATTATAGGCTTCCCATCCTGAGAAGCCTGATGAGAATGCTCAAAGAGATACAATCTCTCTCAATCTCTAACTTTTTTCTTGACCTCACTCTCTCTCTGGAGTGCTTGTTAAAGGTTAATAAAAAATATTAAAAAATAGATTAGATTCACTTAAAGATGCAACTTTGTTGGTAAATAAGTGATCAAATTTTATTAACAAAAAGTGAGCAGAATGCTATTATTTCTTTTCAGTATCTCCCTTGTTGTTACTAGCCTTCTCCTTTCTTTTGTCAGTGACTGTGTGCTGTCACATTCCAAAAGAAGAACAAATGCCAAATAAATCTTTTTTGAAACATTTTTTCTTTGGATGAAAAGAACTAGAGACAAATAAATTTAAGTCTGCGAAAAGATGAAACTTACATATAAAGGTCCAAGATCCCATCTATGGGCAAGAGGTGCCAAGGCAAACCATAAAACTACAATAGTCCATGCCTTCAAACTAAGAGAGAAAAGTGCCATCAAAAGAATACCTATAATATAAAGTTGATTAGTAGCTTATCAATTTTAAGATCCAAATGACCAAATAGATACTTACCAGGAACCTTCATTCTATTATGTAAAAAACAGTAGAGCTTCCTCTTCCATCGGCTTGTAGAATGTGGTAGTCGAAACTCCTAGACATACAACATTAAAAGCATAAAAGGAATCAGTTAACGAATTATTTATATACATAACGACATCAACATTAGCACGAGAGTAATATTCAGTTATACCAAATCATCATCGTCATCTTCGATTTCAAGTCCAGTAGGAGGTTTTGGCTTCACAACAACAATCAAGGAATCTATAAAATGAACGGAAAGAACATATTAAAAAAAAAACAGAAAATGAAATGGGCCCAAATACCCTGGACCAAGTATGATTAAAATATACTCATAACAGCTAAGAACTATTTTATTCACAAGATTATCAATTATTTTAGACAATATAGCAAATGAACTAAATTCTGAGTTGAATAATCCTGAGTTTTCTGCCATCATATACTCCCATACCTGTATCCCCAAATTTCCTGAGTTGAATGATATGACACATGGACTACATTTTGAGTCAAATAATCATGAGTTTTCTGATAAACCTTCCATATCTGTATGCATGATTATTATAAGTATCTCTCCCACTGAAGCTAATTACTTATACCTGTCATTATGTGTTGTTTTTAGAACGATTACTAAACTAGGAAAATTAATCTCTATTTTAAGAGACCTAATGTTAAGAAAGATATGTGATTATATAAGAATGATACCCCAAGAATGTGGTTCATTAATATATTCTAGATACTATTGAAAAATTTTGTGAAGAATGCAAAGATAAAACACCTAGGACATCCTGTCCCATATTTTATAATATGGAAAAAACTTTCTATTATCAAATTGAAACAACCACATCTTAGTTTTCAGCAAGATCTTATATGTCAGTTCAGAATTATTATTTTTCACATACAAAACGACAAAAAAAGTAACAAGCACCAAAGATTTGAGCACAGTTATCATACCTTGTATGACTTAGAAATGGGTATGGTCAAATATTAAAGTTGAGACTACATTATGCAGGATCTTTACCGCATTATTCAGTCGGATGCAAATATCATCCCCGTCCTCACTATCATGCAGTACCTTCCCACACAGAATAAGCCTCAAATTCTCGATAGGAAAATGATTCTCTTCAGAAATCAATTTTCTCAAATCACACACCTAATTCAAATACAAAGAATAGAAACACATAAGAACCAGCCATAATATATCAAAGAACTTATCAAACTTATTTTGTCTTTGCTATTATCGCCATGATGATTCAAGTAAACCATGTTTTACACATTCTCTTAAACAAATGATATGTTATACACATTATCTTTTAAAAAGAAAAGGTATAAAATTTATAAACAAGGTAATAAGTGAGTGTTAATCGAATTACAATAACTTTACAAATTAGTCAGACTACCAATTAAGTGCACAAAGTCCTCATTAGTAGAAAGAGGATGGCCCATGAAAAAAACAAATCTCAAGGTTTGGGACCATAAACTTCTAACTTCAGTAAAATGTCAAAAGTTCTTATATTTTTTTCTTTTCAGCTGGAAACAATAAAGAGCAAGTACTCGTATGGTGATATAGATGAAAAACGGAGTTATTATTTGGTCGTATAGAGCGAGATTAAGAAGTTATTGTACCTAGGTGGCTTGGGATTGGGATTTTTGATGGAGATGAATGAGACTCTGCAGGATAAATGATAATTGAGATTTATAACAGAGGAAGACACATTGTTGAAAAAAACAATAACAGCAAAATATGGTATGGATGATAAAAGGTGGCTTAGCAGAGAGAATTTTAGATCACATGGGAAAAACTCGTGGAAGAAGATCGGTCTAGGGAAGGAAAATTTCCAGGAGTATATAAGGTGAAAGGTTGGTAGGGGGGATAGAGCTAGATTTTGGGAGGATCAATGGATGGAAGGAAATACTCTTAGAGTGTGCTCTCTTCAGATTTATGCAATAGCCCAGCAAAAAGATACAAGATTTGTGACTCTTTCATGGATTACAATAGTTGTGAGAAGGAATGACAAGTGCTTGTGCCGTAGAATCTAGAAAAATTGGAAATTGGAGAATATGAAGAGTTATTGGACACATCATCTTATATTATGTTGGATGGAAGCATCAATACTCCACGGTGGTATCTCACATCCAATGGGTCTTTCTCAGTTAAATCCTTCTAAAGAAGTTGTTCAAGTATGAAGATGACGACACATTTCAAAAAAATTTCCTGTCAGACAGATGTGGAAGACTAGTGTCCCACCTTATGTCTCTTTTTCTGCTTGGGAAGCTAGCAGGGATTTTTTTTTCCCATTGACAACTTGAGAAAGAGGGGGAAGATACTAGTTAAAACTTGTTATCTTTGTAAGAGAGCTGAGGAGACTTGTAATCATATTCTACTTTGGTGCCATAAGGTTTATAAGTTGTGGACCATGATTTATCGCTGCTTGGCATCAGATGGGTGATGGCAGGTTCAATGAGCGAGGAAATTTGGATGTGGAAGGGTATCGGCTGCCGGTGGAAACAAGTGGTCTAATTCGCTCTCCATCTTTTGAGTGTTGTGGAAGAAGATGAATAGAAATGCTTTTGATGGGGTTGAGGATGTAATTAGTTTTGGTATTCTTAGTAATAAATAATTTCAAATCCTTAGTTTTTTGTTACGGGGTCATTCTCTTTATTTTATGGAGGATTTGGCAGAACTTGTTGATACATTCATTGATTTATAAATTTTGCAAATGGGTGGTACCCCCTTGGTCCCTATATCGATACATGTTTTTTTTTGTAAATAAATGCCTATAACAATACAATTTTCACACTTTATATTTTTTAAAAAAAATGCTTTTCAGCTGAACCAAATGTTCGAAAAGAGACATTAGAAATAAGTTTCTTTAGGCGGTTGTCACCCCTGATGCCTTGCCTCGCCCAAATCTCTTTAGCTACAGAGTTTATCATCACTCATCTCCAGCCAGGGAAATCCAAGGCAACACACAAAACGCAAAGATAGAAAGAGCACCATAATAGAAGATGATATGTTGTCCTCTTGCACATGACAACCATTAGCTAGAATATTTTCTCTACATCAAAGAGTGCCAATCACAAGAATTCTCCTTTCATTGCCTCCTCCAGAAAACAAAGAAAAAGAAGAAGAAGCAACCATAGGTGGCGAATTAAGCTTCCAGATAAACATTCAGGGGAAGTCATTATGGGACAGGTCAGAACAAGCAAGATACTTGTAGAAAACAAATATCTCTTAAGGTACAAGGGGCAAGAACATTATTCTTACTCCAACTAAGCTCTCATGGCAAGACAAGAAAAATAAACATCCACCAGCCCTTACAGTTCCTGTTAAGGAGAATTAACACGTTTTGAGTCATACAGATTTCAAGCATCAAAGTAGCAAGAATAATGTTATTTCACCACAGGATCAGGGAAGTTAACCAAGAGCTTGTTAAAGAAATTGTGGAGTTCTCTTCAGAATGGGCAAGTTATTAGGAACTTTCGGATATTAACCCTACCGAACATTTTAGTGATTCATTGCCCATGCAGGAGATTCAACATGCCATTGACCTCATTCCTAGATCCCAATTAGCCCAAACTTGGCTGGCCATAGCATGAATCCCAAATAGCATGCTGAAATGAATTGACAAATAGCAGATCTTCTTTCAAGATCTTCTTTCAAGGGGATTTCTTATTCTTAGACATAGCCTTAGCCCATATCCCATTCTTGCCCTCCTTACCCCAAGAAAGATAGAACATCTGTATTAACAGTCAAGGTATTAAATAAACCATGACCAAGTATAGGTTTCCAGTCCATAGGCTAGAAGACATGTTGGAGAAGCAAGCACATTCCAGCTGGGAATCAAAGATAGATCTAAGAAGTGGTTACCACCAGACTTGCATTAGACCAAGAGATGAATGGATAACTGCATTTTCTTTTTTTTTATAAAAGAAGAAATATTATTAAAGGGAGAAAAAGAAAAGGGACAATCAAGGAGAATAAGACATCTTCCACAAGCTAGTCATGAAGAATGGATAACTGCATTTAAAAACCAAGATGGATTACATTAGTCCATGCCATTTGGGCCATCCAGTGCTCCTACTACTACCATGCAAGTTATGCTTCATATTCTATAACCTTGTTTAATGACATTTTGATTTACAATAAGTTGAAAGATGAGCATTAGGTCATTTTTATGATGTTTTCATGATTCTTAGGAAGCAGAAGCTGTTCGACAATCCCAAGAAATGTATCTTCCTGGAAAATTCAAGTGCTTTTTTAGGATTTATTTATCAGCAAAGGGTGTTTCCACTGATCTAGAATCGATTAGAGCTATCAGAGAATAGCCTCAACCAAAATCAATAAATATGCAGGTTCCATGAGTTAGCACATTTTATAGAAAATTTGTTAAAGGATCTAGTTCAATTATGGCTCACATGTCACCTATTGCCTAAAGAAAGAAGAACTCAAATGAACTATTGCAGCTCCTGAAGCCTGATCTGAAATGATTAAATAAGGAATGAGCTATACCAGCCCAGTAAAGATATCACACTATCTCACCGTCACGGAGGTAAAGGTGGATAGAAAACACAAAAAGACCAATGAAGTATAATTTACAACAAATTCTTTTATCAATAATAAAATCCTTTACTATCCACTTATCTCGGTAAAATTCATAAAACAATATACGAAAGCAGTAACATTATCATTATCATGAAATCATATAAGCTGTATAACATAATACTTAGCACACCTTTGCAATTCAATCATTACACAATATATTTCTCCTCATTTCAACATATAAAGCAGAAATTGAGAGAGGCTCTTACATTAAATCATCATGATTTAGAAGTTTTAGTTATTTGCGATGCTTTTTGAATCGCGATAGGGGAATATTAAGCCAAGAAGGATATTCTTTGCATTTTAAAGGAGAAACTTAATGAGACTAGACTGAAATATTCCATTTATAATAAAGATTTTTATGTTGTTTTGCAAGCATTTTGTCCTTCGAGATATCTATGACCTCAAGAATTTATTTTACGCCAAAAATTAAGCTTTAAGGCACTTAAACACTCAAAAGAAATTCAATTTTAATGCATGCTCAATGAAGTGAATTTCTCCATGGATATTCCAAGTCAACGATAATTCTGGATCAAAGAACCTCCCAACGCCCTCCCAGTTAGTTTCTCGAAACATAACTACATCCAGATTGCCCCTCAAAATTGCTTCTTTTATTGTCTTCCTCTTCAAGACATCACCAAAACCATCTAAATTCCAACTTAAATTCTTCACATGGAAATGTCTTTGCCCCTTCTTCCTTTAGAAAATTTTTTTTATGCTCTTAACATAAGCTAAGAAAAAAAAATTATGAATTTTACTTTTTTCTTTTAGTAAAAATAAACTATATTCTCTTAGGTAGTTTCTGGTGTCATAAAAACAATAGGACTGGATAAAAAAATACAGAAAAACTATATGTTCGGCAATAAAATTATAGGAACTTAAGAGGATAAAAATTGTTAACATGTGGAACAAATTTGTTGTTACAAAACCCATCGAGCAAACTTGTTAATCATAAAAAAAAGTAAATAAATAGACTTTACGCTCCTTAAATAACACTCTTTTTATCATCCTATTAATTTTTTAAGCTATTAAAAATTTATTTTACAATTGAAAGACAAAATTACATCTTTGTGAAGACTCTTATTGACAAGATTATCAACTTAGAAATTGAAATATTCCAATAATAGTGACAACTTTCATTTATTTCTTACTTTTATTCTAACAATTTCTGTATTTACTAAAGGTTTCTTTATCAATAAATAATGATTAATTAGTTATTAGCTAGTAAAAGTAAATTAATTTTATAAAATGAATTTAGATATAAAAAATTAAATAAAATGAAGCTGGTTAAATAAGTATATCTTAAATGGTTTTGTGTAAATTTACCTCCCAAACACATGGTTTTTCCTCTGTTCAAAACCTATAGAGTTAAGTTATATTTTATTATGTTCTATCATTTTTGTGCATCACACGCTACCTTCAGCTTTAACCATTCTTATTTTCACTCCTAAGATAAATTGTAGGGGAATCTCAAACCCCATATCCTTACCTCAAGACCCAACTAAACTCTATCTTGCCAAAAATTTAAATTGGATTCTCAATATCTACATCAGTCAGAATTGGCTTAGAAGAAATTACTTTCTCCCTAGTTACCTGGTTGAATGTAGAACTAAGGGTTTTAAAGCAAACCGGTCACACTTTGGAGTAGAACAGAATTCCCTCATTAAGATTTCTTATCTTACCCACCAGACAAAACCACAGCAAATTGATATGTATGTTAGGAGAAAAATGAGAAGATGTGAAGAGAGATAATACAGAGGGACTAAAACATTAAGTGAAAGGTCAACTCCCTCCTCTGAATCAGATCCAATTTGTATACTTGTTTCTTGCAAGTCTCTCCACTAATTCACTTAACGAAGATAGAGCCACAACTAGAGTATACTTAGGATGTGTTATGCTCGAACGGTTACACTAGACCATCCAAATTCCTCGCTCTTCAGAATCAGGTTCCAATTTATTCATTTATTCCTGCTCGGTCTCTTCACTAATTTGTTTGATGAAGACAGACACACCACTGGTCTCTCCTTGGCACATGTTATGCTCAAACAATTGCACCAGATCATCCCAAACTCGCTCACCGTTTCCAGTGAGTTCTTCCTGATTATGACCAAGTGAAAGGTGAACCAACATCCTTCATCTTCAAGATCCAAAGGAAGATCTTCCTCTTTCAAGTTTAGAGAATCAGTAGAGGAAGCACAACAGACAAAATCAACATCGTTTCCTTCCTCATTAGTTGGTGTTACTATAACTATACCACCATTCTCAATTAAAAACTTCTACCCAATGTTAGAAGATGAAATTGATCTTGCTTGTATAACTGCAAACCCGCACACCTACAGGCCTACCTGTTAACCCCCAGTTCCTTCTCCACCTTAGTCCTCTCATCTTTTGATATAATCTTCTTCCCTTTATCACTCAGGTACAAAGCTTCATCAGCATGGTTAAGGCACACTAATTTTCCTAGAAAAACAATAACTAACCAAATGAGTACATATGCGCCAACATGTGAGAACTTTAACATGATCTGTCTCCCATGAAGTGACAACAACAACTCAGAGAGGAGACATCGAGAAATGTGAGAAAATATTAACTTTAGTCTGTTGTGTTGATTCAAAGATAACAGCAACAGACTTGGGCTTCTTAACCCACCATTTAACAGGTCTCTTAACAGACTTGTATTGCTTTTGCCTTTCCTCTACTCTTGTCCAAGCTGAGGCCTGATTGAATCTTGTCAATACATGGCTTTATGCGTAAAAATTACGTTGTGCTCGATTTTTATTTATTTACTTTTGAAATAGTACATTGTGCTCGATTATATTAAACACCAGGTCATGGACTTTACCTTAAAAGGCCTCCTAAGTTCCATCTTCTCTATCAACAAAATCTCTTAGACCCTTTTGTTTGACCCCAATAATCAAGGATTTATTCCCTAAGTAATATAATGGTTCAGTTTCCAAATCTCTCTTCGTCATCTTCTCCTCCCCCTCATTTACTACTAAAAAAATGTTTCCCTTAAGTACTGCAATGCAAAAATAGGTACAATCTTTACTTTGTTGATCAAAATAGATACAAATATTTGCTCCCCCTTAGTTACTGCCCATTACTTCTCTCATAGAGTGTGACTTGAGTCATATGCTCTTCTTTCAATTCCTACCGACTTCACGATCACCGAGGAAATCTTCTCCTAACAATAGTTAACTAATTGTCATCACCATAACCATTCCTTATAGCCAACACCCTCTGGAAAAACGAGCACCTTCTTTCCACCAACAAAAAAATTGGGTAATCATCAGAAATTTATTTCTTTGGTTATCCGTCACTTCCACCAAGGAATGTTTATTAGGTTCTCCCAGAGCTCCATGAAACTGCTCCTTGTTCTTCTAACTACCAAACTATCTCAGAAACTTATCTGCCAATTTGCCCCTTCCCTTCCCATGAAAATGCATAACCTTCTCATGCTGAATATCTCGAAAATGGTAACATTTAAGAAATAATTTCCCTCCTCAACGGATACAGAAAAAAGAATTACCTTCAAGTTTTTAAACCTTCTAACACCTCTCATGATACCAAAAGAAATTTTAACTCAATATAGAAAGACAAATAAAAACCCCATATTCAATTGACAAAATAAATCCCAATAAAATTCGACTTGATTCACTTCAGCATCATCCAACTGACTAAAGCTACAGTGAGATACAATTTATTTAAAGTAACAACAACTAGAACCCAAATATTTCCTGAATTCAAACCAGAATGTCCTCAAAGAAAATAGGACAGACTTACCAGTACAATCATCTAAATACCAAATTGCACAATTTGGAACCATACATCTTCACTTGGATCATAAAAGAACAGCTTAGAGAGTATTTATTAATTCAGTGCCCATGTTGAATAAAACTTTTTGTTATACATGTTAAATAAGACTTCTTTTTATAAAAGGTGAAAGGACTTTCTCATGTGATCACAGTGAAACCTTACATGTAGAAGTGTCAGATGCAGCATACTTCTGCTCTAACCTCCAACCTTAAAAAATGAGACAAGGAGCAACGGGATTTACCACCATATAAGCCACCCCTCAGTAGCATGTTAAATGGGACTAAATTGAGCAGTCTCTCAAATTTATAAAAAGACTTCAGCTTGTTTGACCATGTCATATCTTTTGAATCTATCCTAGAGTCATATATATACTTATGTCGGAGGGAAATTTAGTTCTTCCTCGAAGTAATTTGGGCCATCAATGTCGCATCAGTAATTTTGTGCTGCTTTTAATAAAATAAAATTTATTAAAAACCCAACAGAAGAAAATCAAACTGAAACACAAAACAAAAGAAAATTCTAAAATCTGAAAAGACATAAGATTGGGAAGAGGGGAGGAAGAAATCATTACTTTAATTGGAGAAGCGACTTGGATTCGAGAAGGGCGAGCTGGGCCGATTATTTTGAGATTGATCTCCACCATGTTGCCATCCCTCGTTGCAGGGTTGGCATTGTTGCAGGAATCGGGATACGTCTCCTCTATAATCTCCCTCATTTTACTCGCAACATAACTTCTCTTTGTATTTCTTGGTCAATTGAACTCAAAAACGAAATTTCAGACTGCAACTTTCTGGAAAATACGTGGTTAGCTCAATTAATTAATGAATTATATTATTATAGTAAATAATAATAGCTGATGGTAAAAGGACAAAAATGTATTCAGTAATTATTTTTTTATCTTTTTAACTTTTCGATTGTATTTTTAAGTCAGTTTAATTTTGCTAATTAAGTAATAGAAGAAAAATAAAGTTTACAGTCTCTATACAAATTTTTTAGATTCAGTTATTATATTATAATAGAAAAAAAAAATAACTAATTGTAATATAACTTATAATTTAGAAATTAAATTAATAATTTATTTTTTCCTTACACAAATAAAAAGTTAAAATGTTAAAAATTAATTATAGCTTATTTTGAAATATTCCATGTCATTGTGGTATTATACTACATACATTAAGATGTATTTGGATAATAATCATAATAAAATAAAAATTAAAATCACAAAAAAAAAAAGAAAGAAAGAAATCTTAATTTTTTATGGTCTTTTTTCATAGATCTAGATAGCTAAATCATATTTAGTTGAAATAAATATATAAAAAAAAGATGGTAAGATGCTAATTACAACAATTAGCCTTGGTATATATATTCTATTATTTTACATAAAATTATTACTTTTTCTATATATATATATATATATATATATATTTATACTTTTATTTACATACTACACGACTTACCTTGCTTCTTTTCTCCATATTCAATTTAATTCTCTTAGACAAGTCATATATGTGTGTGTATATATATATATATATGTATATATAAAGCTTATTTCATTTTATGGCAATCAAATGGAAAACCCAATAGAAGATTTTGTTAGAATATAAGAGATGGACATATCCATAGGTTGTTTATGCCTTGGGATTGTATGAGTTGTGCCAAAGAGTTTGTAGGGTAATGTAGGGAATTTGATATTGTTTTTTATTGTTTTAAATCTTTGCTTACTTTTGGAAGCTTTGCCAAAATTTTAGGACATTTATTTTCCAAAGGGTGTCGTAGAATCTCCTTCCAAAAGGGGCTTGTAAAATGGATTGATAATGTAGCTTGTATAAAAGGTGAATTATTAAATTAATCTGTAATATTTGACACTAGTTATAATTTAATTTTTAATTTTTAATTTTTAATTTTTAATATTTTTTTTATAAATTATAATTTGTTATTAATTTATTAATTTAATTAATATGTCAATCTCACTTTTATCTTTTTTTTTTTAAAAAAAAAAAACTCTCCAAACATGATTTAATCATTTTAACTTTTTTTTAAAAAAAATAAAAAAAAAATTGAATGCTTGAAATAAATTAGAAAATATTAGAGAATAAATTATAATTCATGTATGCATTATACAAAGGAATATGTCTACTTTACATAATAGACATCTTTTCTTTAATTGTCAATTAACTAGACTTTTCTGGTTTCACTTTATTTTGGGCTTTAAATCAACAATATTACATTTTCACTCTCACATCTTTTGTGTGGATGTGAGAGTGAATCATATAACTATCTTTTTTTTATTTGTCAATTAATCAAACTTTGTTGTTTTCGGCTATTTAGGCCTTTAAGTCAACAATATTACATTTTCAATTCTTTGAATTGTTTCTTATTTTATATTCTACTTATAGAAAAATAACAAACTATAATGAATAAGTTTTGAAACCAAGTTCTATTGTAGAAATCAACCATGATTGATATATTATGACTTCAGAGAAACAACGTTAAACAAAAGTAGTTGATCTTATTGCATGAGCGATTATTAAAACTTTTTACCAACTTTTGCATGTCTTACCATATGTTATTTTAGTATTATTCAACCCAAAGTCGTTCATCCTCTTAGAAAAAAGATTAGGTTCTACAAGCATCACAGTCTTTAATTGAGACATAGCTATAAGGGATAATGCTTAAATTATTGCTTGTGTTTGCTATATTGATGGATATTCTCATGGTTGCACATAATATTTCTCCTATATCCAACCATCTATAGTTAAAAGTGATGCAATTTTTTTGTCTCAATATAGTTTATTCGTTGAGTTCAAAGAAATCATGATTCATAATAAGACTTTAAATTTCTTCATCCAGCCGCTATGTTCAAGTTTTAATTCTAAATTGAGACATCAAATGTAACACCCAAGTGTTATTATTTTTATTTTGTAATTATTTGATTTTTTTTTTATTTTTAATTAATTTAATTTAATTTAATCTAATTTCATGAAAATAAAAATAAAAATAATGATAAAATTGGGTAAAAATATTATTTGGATTTAATTGAAATTGATTTTGAGAAAAATGGGTGAAAATTTGGATTCTGGGGGTGTTTTTGAAAAGAAAATCGAAAACTAGGGGTCAAAACGCAATTTAAAAAAGTTGTGCCACATCAGCAGCCACGTCAACGGCCCGTCAGCAGCCCCGACCAACCAGGACACGCCGCGTGGCAAGGAAACGCTGACCAGGGGACGGGCCAAGTGGGTGATCCGCGTGCGCACGATCGGACGGCCTAGATCCGTTTCCGCGCGCACGGACGGCTCAGATTCAATCAGACACGGACGGCTCAGATTTAATCCCAATTAAATCGCGATCGAACGGCCCAGATATAATCTTGATGGACGGTGAG